GCCTGCTCTTACTCAAAACCCTCTTTGAAATATGTTAACTGGACCATAAGAGACAGAATAACAGAACAAAAAAAACAAACACAAAAATACATATTTTTCCAAACTAGCAGGCTAACATATAACATAACTATTACATAACTTTATATAAACATAAACAGCAGTAATATTTGCTATTGGCAACTCCAACCTGGCTCCTGAAAATCCATATTTGGTCAGAGTCAGAGCCTTTAGTCAACCACAAGGAAAAAATGGAATTTTTGGAATGGACAGTGGAAACCAGTACCATACGATGAGGTAGAAAGCAAAGAGACACTTCATACCCGGTGCCACATCAGTCTTATGAACACCTACGACTCCTAACGTGCTTTAGATATGAACTACATCCTGGATGAGGAAAATAAAAATGGTGGCTGTAGGGTATCGAGTCGACTGGGGTTCTTAAACAGGTCTATTTATACACCAGGAAGAAATCAGGTGTTGGCAGTCAATGGAAAAACAAAGAATCGAGTGCTCTGTCACTTTGGCTTTGCGTGATCTCGGAGTCATCTCCCCAGGCTTTGGTGGCAGGCTGTACATGCTCCATACCAGCTCTATACATATGCTACTTGTTCCACAGTGACATAACGGAGGTAAAAATACTTCAACCAGGGAACCTCACAATGTAGACAAGTATACACATGTATATCGTACAATACCATTAAGTTCCAGTTTCATCAAGATGTTAAATGAATACATTTGTTTAATTATCTCAAGAGAAATGCAGATGTATTCCAATGTGGTTTTACTGCAATTGGCAAATGAATCCGATTTAATTTTCTCTTCGCCATTCTTAGTCAGAGGTAGCTTAAAACCTTGAAGCCTTGAAAACACATCTAGCTTACTGAAAAAAGTGCATCTTATTATTATTCTTTCAGATAAACTTGATGTTTAGCATTCAATAAAATAAAAAAAAGTTCACCCAAAATACTGAAAGAAAACAGCAACCAATGTAAACTTGAGGGCTTTAAGCTAAAGAGAGTGCTTTTCTAGCAAGAGATAAGATCTCCAGACTGTAAACAAGGCTGCTAACATGTGTTAGCCGACACAACAAATGTATTTGTTTACGTTTAAAAAAATAAATTAAAAAATCAATATACATTGTTATCGACCGATATGAATTACTTATATTGTGATATAGTTTTCAGCCCTATTTTGAGTATGACGAATCGACGTGCATATTATGTATCAACGTAATTTTGGCGTCCACGTTAGATTACGTCGATGCGTTGTCCCAGCCCTAATTGTAAAGCGTTTTTGAACAGGGATTTTCATGTACATTTGGTTCTTACAAAGCCCTTCAGATGAAAGCAGAAAACTCACAGAAGTTGCACATTTCATAATTGTTGACATAAAAGCCTCAGGATTGGAATTCAAGCCCTGAATAAAGAACAGACACCCTGACACCAGTGGACACTAAACCCAGTATCTAGTATTGAAACTAGATACTCATGTGAACTTCACAGTCTTCCTAAGAGTATTACGGTTTCCCATATTTAATTAATTAATTATTAAGCATTAATAACTTCACATTGTGTAATAAATCTCAGTTTTGCTCTTTCACGGGTTTTCACATTCATGTATGACTGTCAAATCTTTAGATCAACTTTTCACACAGAAAGGTTAAAAGGAGAGACCACCCTGACTCAGCCTGTTGTGTCCTGATTTGTTCACAATTTTTTTTGCCGACACTAGTTACCGTGACAACCATGATTATCTTTTATTTGGAGGTAAGTAAGTAGGTAATGTTTATTTATATAGCGCATTTTACAGACACCCAAATACATTGTTCAGAGTTCAGATATTGTTACAATCACTCCACACTCGGTGATGACGGAAGTGAGACGCCGAAAACACTGGCACATGTTTTTAGTGGTAGGGGCAAGAGGTGCACCTGGGGGAAACCTACGCAGACACGGAGAGAACATGCAAACTCTACTCAGAAGGTAGAGTTCCAGGACATTCTTGCTGAGAAGCGAGAGTGCTATCCACTCAGCCACTGTGTTGCCCAATGAGGTAATATTATGATTTATGTTTTTAATGCATCTTATTTTTCTTTTGAAAATCACTTTTATTTGTGTCCAAATGGCTATAGAAATGTACCTGTACTTTCCGTGAATCGCAAATAAATACTATATGGTCTTGTATAGAAATTGGCTAGCAACTGAACACAAAATTCCATTACATTTCCGAGGAAACGTTCATCCTGAACGTCTGAGGACAGGCTGCCCCTCAAGTGTCACAGCCTTGAGTCTGCAGCTGAGTGAAGAGGTCCGTGAAAGACCCATGGAGCTGAGGGCCTGTCCGCTCAACATGGATTCTAAGAACATAACAGTGCTGAGCCAGCTGGCACTGCCTCTTGCCTCCCACAGACACTGAACAGGTTTTTCTAGAATTAAGGAAATCTCAATCAGATCCTTCACAAATGCACAGGCTGACACTTTGGTAACAGCGTGAGGGATTTCAATGTAATAGCCAATTTTCCCCTTGAACTAAAAAACAATCATCGGTTCATCCCATTTTTATCAGTGCATTTAGTATTTCAGTCACTAAGCGTGCACAGGAGACCTCAGAGCGAGTTTTACTGTGAGCTGCAATGAAAATACAAGCAGTGTTTTTAAGCACCTGCTATAAATTATGTGCCCGCCTAGTTTGCATATTGCACCAGGCCGCAACAGTGTGGCCTAGATGGACATTGCTAACCCCCTAGCTCAGGGGTGGCCAACCAGTCACAGACTAAGAGCCAATTTTTTTACTGTGTTACAGCAAAGAGCCGCATCATACAAATATGCAATACATAAACATCACCCCATCCCTTACACACGCACACATGCGCGCACACACACACACCTCTGCTCAGACAGATTTATTGTAAATGTCATCAACATGATAATGACAGAAATTGACTCGTACAGTACTAAATGGCTGGACTCGACTCTCCCCGGTTTGCGGGCGCTTCCACCGCTCGCTTCAGCCGCTCCCCGGTACTTTTTATTAATGCTTGGGCCCTGGTTCTAACCGGGCGAGTCGATACCAGAACAATCTCACGTCAGCGAACATCAATTGATTCCGAAATTCCAGACACATGGAACACTTGAACTCCTCCACTCAAGGAAGGACCTTTCTACCAACGAGAGAGGGCAACGCACCTTTTACCTGTCAAGCACCATGGAATTTTGGAAGTGCTGAATGCACATCCAAACACAAGCACACTGGCTTGACCGTTTTGGAGCCCGTTAGACGCTATTGCAGATTCTCTGTGATCATCCTAAATATCTTTAATACGCATTTTTCAGTGCCCATTGTACACATTTGTTGATATAAAACAATGATTTTATTAGTATTTTTTACAGAGCAGCCCCCAGAGATCAGCCATGTGTGTATGTAGAACACTTAAGTTGAGTTTGTTCTCAAGATGACTTTTTTCAGATGTGAACAGACAGATGTGCACTGGTCTCCAATTGAACATATTTCCGATGACTTTTCATGAAATAAAGAACTGTGTCTGCACACGTCACTACAACAGGAAACACAGGCGGTCCATTTCCCTTCACTATATTCGATTAGATCTGACCTTTTATTGCATCTTTTCATGTCATATTCAAAATCCATTCTTCAATATTCTCCCAATTTGATTGTTGCCTGCGTTTCTTTCCTTGATAATGTGGTTAAACAAATGCAGCCAACGCAGGTTCCACTCCCTTTGTACTTTACATGGCTCAATGAGAAGATTTAATATGCTGTGGAAAAGTATTGTACACAGGAAAGACAACAAAGCAACTGCCCTTTTTATGATCTAATCAAGGTTTATTAATTTTCCAT